TAGATTCAGACTAGACATCAGGAGGCGCTACTTCACTGTCAGGGCTGCTAGGATCTGGAACCGACTTCCAAGTGAAGTGGTGCTGGCTCTTACCCTGTGGGTCTTTAAGAGGAGGCTAGATGAACACCTTGCTGGGGTTGTTTGACCCCAGTACTTTTTCCTGCCATGGCAGGGGTTCGGACTTGATAATCTGCTCAGGTCCCTTCTGACCCTACCAACTATGAAACTATGACCTTCTCAGCATCACAGCAGCGGAAAGGGATCTTGGAGTCATAGTTGACTCCAAGATGAACATGAGCCATCAACGTGATGAAATGATCACATGAATGATGAATGAAGGCTAACTGTACTTTATCATGCATTAGCAGATGCATGATGAACAGGTCCAAGAAGCTGATGCTTCCCCTCTATGCAGCACTGGTCAGGCTGCAGTTAGAGTACTTTATCTAGTTTTGGGTGCTGCACTTCAAGAGAGATATGAAAAACCTTGAGTAGCAATGGCCAGAGGAGGGCCACCTTATGGTCCGAGGCCTGAAGGTAAGGCCCTATGAGGAACCTAGATCTCTTCAGCCTTTGCAAGAGAAGGCTGAGAAGTCTTATGGCTGCCTATAAATTCATGAGCAGCAGGGAATAGCAGATGCTCTATTTACTAGGGCACTCTGGCGTAACTAGGAACAATGGCACAAATTGACGGAGAGCAGATTTAGGTTGGACATTAGAAAGAACATCTGCGCAGTAAGGGTTGCCAGAATCTGGAATGGGCTTTCAAGGAAGGTGGTGCTTTTTCCTACACTGGGGGTCTTCAAGAGGAGACTGGACAAGAACCTAGCTGGGGACATCAGACCCCAGCGCTCTTTCCTGCCCAGGGCAGAGGTTCAGACTCAATTACCTACTGATGTTCCTTCCGACCCTAACATCTATGAATCTATGAGATCCTTTCAAGAGTGCCACACATTGTTTGCACTGTTGGGTGTACAAACATGATTCACAAGATAAATACAGACATTTCACATATGAATACATAGTGTTAAAAACATTTTGACCTGTTGTGGTTTTTTTGCGGCCTGTGCAGAATAATCAGTCTATTATTTTTCTGTAGTCAAAAAACAAGTGAAAACTAAGAGATGGCATTTTCCAATAGGTGCCCTGAATCTAAAAAGGTTGAGATGGCAAGGGGGCAGGGCTGGGGTTTTTGCAGCCTAGCAGAACTGGGAGGTACGTAGGAGTGCCCCTGGCCTTCTGGCTTTGGCTACTTCAGTCATCTGCCTGCCTTGGCCAACTGATGAATGAATGTGTACTGTGTCTGTTAACAGTCCAATCTACACAGTTTGGAGAAAGCTGAATAGATTAAATCGATTCTGTCTCAGACTTTTTGAATGTCTATACTTAGCCAACCACACTGGGAATGCCAGAGAAGAGGAATCATTACATCTTTCTTGGTAGTAGGGATAGAGAAGTAAAGTGACACAGAACATGTCAATATCTAATATAGAGAAAATTGAACTAGTATAAACTAGTTATTTGGAAAAAAAATTTTCAGACATTTCTGAGAACAAGAGAGCAGCCAAAATACCTCCTTTCCCTTCCTCTCCACCTTCTGTTTAATGTACCATATTCATGCTTTATAAGTTGTACTGGTGGCTTGTCTGGAAAAATTCATTTATTCAAAAACCTTCTTTTTTCAGATACTTCTTTTGTAAGCAGATCACCAACTCATTGACCAGGCAGGAGGATCATGGGGCCAGAGTTGTGCATGGGTTTCTTTCAGTTCCTGTTATAACATGAAGACTAGTTTACACAGATGCATCTGATCATGAGGTAGAATGAGAATTTTCATTTTACCAACAGCCAAAATTGAGATTAAAAACAGTCATTGTTACTCTAAAGCCACACATATACATAAACAAGCAGATATATACATACACATTTCTCATCATCTTTATTCTTTACCACCTTTGTAATTATGGTAGCTACTAGAAGCTCAGTGTAAGGAACTGTCTTGCCATGCAAGACTGCAGAAATAAGCAGAATATGATGGATGTATAGAGGGAATAGTGTGGGTTAGGAGAATGAAATGGTAAGTGAATGACCAACATTTTACAAAAATAAACCATAAAGTAAAGGTGATAGCTTGTTAATTGTCTCACCAAAGAGGCAATCTCTAAAATACCTTGATGTACATACAGACTAGACAGGCATTTGTAATTATGAAGAGCATTCTGTTTTATTTGATTGTATTGTAGAATAATGAATAGTGAATCTAGTCAGTTAAGCTTTAGGAAAAAAATCCTTGGAAGTATTCAAATGCCAACACTCAGCATCATCATCATCATCATCAACAACAACAACAACTAAACAAAAAGCAGTTTTTACATTTTTATTCTTTTACAATGGAAATAATTGTTTATATAGAAAACACACATTTTTCTATTAGATTCTTTTAAATAAAAAATGATGTTTTACAACACATGTACATTTTTATTTTGTGATTACTATAGCTTTCCTAATAACCTTTTCAGGGCAAGATTGTGCCTGATTTACAGAAATAGAGGCTTTCCATAAATCTGAATAGGCACCTAAACACATCTGTCCATCTATCAACCATGTACCTGATTGCTCATAGGTATGTGCAATAAGTTATGTTAAGGCAGTTTAGCTTGGATCACATGATGGCTGTAACCAAAGTGGATTTAGAGATAATGAGCTTGCATCCTAGAATACTTAGGATTGCAGTATACTCTCTAAACTGATGATGCAGCAGCTGCATAATGTAACAATGTAATTTATTCATGTAATATGTACAATATTGCTGTAATAAAAAGCCTATTGGTGGTTTCTTTAATTCTTTGTATGAACACCCTGTTATTAATAGCTGTGCAAGTCAGTATTTCAGCATCTTCAACTTTGGGCTATTTGTAAACCCATGCTGTAATATTTTTAAAAGATAAAACCCATTTTATGCAGCATGAGCTGTGCTTTGAGTCTGCATGCATTGGGCTTAGTTATGTGGTTTGTATTGCAATTTTTTTAATACCAGTGTCAGAAAAACCAGAAAACAATAAACAGGGAAAAGGGAAAGGACATAGAAGATCAAACAGATACTGAATGTTATACTTTAGACCACAAATGTTATAGAATATTCATGATCATGATGTATGACTCATTTTTCCTCTTTTACTTTTCAAACGATGTTTATACAAAACATTTGGTCTATATGAGAAAATCTAGAAGTCCAGTGATCTGTGTGCCAGTTTGAATTAAATACTTCTCTTGCTTACAAATATAATAATGTTTATATTAAAGGAAGATTTCCTCTGAAGTAAATTTTAATAGGCATGTATTAACTTTCAGTGAGAGTCTACATGTAAGGACAGTGATGAAGAGCATTACAACAGAAAGCTTAGAAATTAATCTGCCAGTTTAACCCAGTAACTGACATGCATACTAAAACACTGATGTGAATTGAAAATAAAATAACCACGCTTGACAGATATAATAGTTTAAGTGATTTCAAATTAACCACATCCCACTGACCGCAAGTGAAGAATGTGTTCATTCTCCCGCAATGAAACATGCTCTAGGGACTCATTATACAGAGTAGAGTAAGTAAAACCAGAGTGGAGTAATTGATGCTGAGGAGGAAGGAAGAATGACAGCTATTTAATGATTCTCAAACTTATATAGATATCACAAGCACTTAATATATTATTTTTCTCTCTCCAATCTAGAAATATTATAGGCTTAATCTGTATTGTGCAGTAATTGCAGCACTTGATATAGCTGTTAGGAATAATGAATCATGGCAAAGATGCATCAGCCAGTACATGAAAAGAGTGAATAACAAACAACCTGGTACTAGCAGTGTGTCTGTCTGTATTATGTGATTTATTTTGCAGTGGAACAGGTGAAGGGAAGTAAAGGAATAGGTGAAGAGAAATATCTAGATAGGTATCTATCTCACCTATTTGTCACTGAAATTGATTTTCAAATTATAAGGATTCCCTAAACAATGTTTTGAACATTCTGAAAAGTTATTAAACTCTTAATTTCATTTTCCATTTCTTAGATTATTTTTCATATACATTAAGAATTTCCTAAACAGGAAATAAAGTTATATAAATAAAGGGTGCAGGTTAATAAAGACATAGATACCTAATTAACAGATTCACAGAAGCCAATCATCTTAAGTCACAATGATGACACACTGTGTCATTTGGCTGTCATGTTGCAGACTGCAGTAACCTCCTGATACCACTGGCAACCTCCATAGTGCTGCTGCAGTCAGTAGAAGCTGACATATCTGGATACTGGTGGGGAATTTCTGATCCTGCAACACACGGACAACTGGCTGCAGGAGAAGGTGATGCAGAGCAGAATAATACAGGGCTGTACGGGGCTTTTTCAAATAAGTTGTACATAGGCAAAGCAGGATGTTGCTTTTCAAGTAATGTGCTTCTGCTGGCTACCTGCAGCCTCAGCAGTTGATTTGGTCACCCACTGGTTATGAGTTGTAGAAAGTGTAATGATTGTGTGATGATGACTTTGTAGAACAGATGTGTTTTCACTAGGAACTGAAGTGAAACCATGACTTTTTTTTTTTTTTTTTTTACAATGGCCCCCACATGGCTATGAGTTGGCAATGATTACTGGCCATTACAGAACAAGTAAATGTGACAAGTAAAATATTTCATAAAATAAATGAGGAGTGGAAGATTCATTACAATCACCGTGAATTCTGACCCCATGGGACTTTAGTCACCGAGTGGGGCCACTTTTAACCACTAAAAACCTTTTCCTTTCTGGCTCTGCATGTTAGGTTAATTGTAAAAGTATCAATGATCACAGCTGAATGATGCCAACTGTGGCACTTATTTAACTGTTTGGGAGTTTTACAAGGGAAGCTCACAGAGGACTTCCAAACTATGGGAGAAGTCGAGTTTTCCACTGAATAGATATTTCATAATGTCCACCTCTTGTTTGTTTACTCTCCTATTGAAGCACAATATCCTCATGACCACATATCTACCCAGCACAGTATTCAGCAGTCATTCAATCCTGAGGAAGAATGAAGAGTGTTAGTCAGTTAAAGTTGAATCTCAGTAAAGATTTAGGTATCTTAAGCAACTTTGGTATTTCAGTTTCTACATCTAAATGAGCAATCCACAAACAACTCATCTAACCAATGAAGTATCAGAGAGGTTGTAGGCACCTAAGTTTCCTGGTGAACACATACTGAAACCCCTAAAATCCCACTGTTGTCTATGCCTGGACCCCCTGGCATCTTGGATGACCTAAGAATCTTGAAATCTATTTCATGCCTAAAGTCTGTCTGGGTTTCACAGACCAGGAGACCTCATGCCCAAGTCCTCTGAGGTGTCAATCCAGAGAGTGTGCTGAGTTCTCTAAACAGGTGTCTAAAATGCCCCAGCATTACAAAGTTCAGTAGAACAGCTATTACCACTTACATTCAGCAACCAACAAAAAGAAGTAGTGGTGCTCCTACCTTTTCCATAAATGTATAGTGATTAGAGTACTTGCCCAGGAAATGATAAACCTGAGTTGTGCACCATCAAGTTAAACGGATTCAAACTAACATATCCTACCTTCCAAGAGAGTGTTCCACCAACCAGACTCAGAGTCATAAAATCATAGAAAATGGGGGCTGGAAGGGACCTCAGGAGGTCATCTAGTCCAACCCCCCTGCTCAAAGCAGGATCATTTCCAACTAGATCATCCCAGTCAAAGTTTTGTGTAGCTGGGTCTTGAAAACCTCCAAGGATGGAGATTCCTTCACCTCTCTGGGTAACCTATTCCAGTGTTTTACTATCCTCCAAGTGAGAAAATTCTTCTTAATATCTAACCTAAACTTCCCTTGCTGCAAGTTGAGACCATTGCCCCTTGTTCTGTCATCTGCCACCACTGAGAACAGTCTAGCTCCATCCTCTTTTGAACCCCACTTCAAGTAGGTGAAGGCTGCTATTATTTCCCCGATCAGTCTTCTCTTCTCTAGACTAAATAAACTCAGTTCTCTCATCTTGTCCTCATAAGTCAAGTGCCCCAGCCCCTTCACCATTCTTGTTGTCTTCTGCTGGATTGTCTCCAATTTGTCCACATCTTTTCTGTAGTGGGGTGCCCAAAACTGACCACTCCAGCTGTGGCCTCGCCAATGCTGAATAGGGGGGAAGAATCACTTCCTTTGGCCTACTAGCCACACAGCTACTGATGTACCCCATGGTGCCGTTAGCCTTTTTGGCAACAAGGGCACACTGCTGGCTCATATTCAGCTTATTGTCCATTGTACCTCCAGGTCCTTTTCTGCAGAGCTGCTGCCCATCCAGTCAGCCCCCAGCCTGTACTGGTGCATGGGATTGTTCCATACTAGGTGCAGGACTTTGCACTTATCCTTGTTAAACCTCATGAGATTTATTTTGGCCCAATCCTCCAAACTATCTAGGTCACTCTGAATCCTAGCCCTACCCTCCAGCATATATACTACTCCCCCAAGCTTCGTGTCATTTGCAAACTTGCTGAGGCTGCACTCTATGCCATCTTCCAGGTCGTTGATGAAGACATTGAACAAAATCAGCCCCAGGACTGACCCCGGGGTACTCCACTTGATACTGGCTGCCAACTAGACATCGAGCCATTGACTGCGACCCTCTGAGCCTGATGCTCCAGCCAGTTTTCCATCCACCTTACAGCCATACTCTATCATTTTTTCTGAAGCAGTGCCTCAATCATTCAAGGTTCATGGGGTCAGAGAGTACACAAGAAGGAACGTTCCTCTATCCTAGTGGTGTAGGCACTTCCATGGGAGAGAGAAGTCCTGGTCTCTGCCCCAGGGGCTCTTTATGCATTTTGCATTGAAGAGCCATTGGATAAAATGCATAAGCATCATTGGGACCAATCTAAGGTCTCCAATCAAAGTAATGAAAAGGCCTGACCAACTGAGCTTGTAAGAACTGACAAAGTAACAGCATGAGGTTACATGCACAACTCCAGGAATCCTCCTTATTAATGCACCATTACTGGTATTCTTAAAGAGAATATTTTTGTTTCCTATTCACCAGAGGGTTACCACATTTCCTTCTACCTCTTCTACCCCTTTCTTTTTGAAGTTTTCTTAAGCAGGAAACTTCAGAGTTTTTTTTTTTCTACCTGATTTGGTAAGTTCAGCTCTATAATGGATATTTATTTAAGTAGGTTTCTTTCTCCTTCTATGCAAAATTTCCTTCTCCCATGCTGATGTATTGTATATGTTATGTTGGTCATAAGCCTAAAAAAGAGGAGAGAATTTTTGTTTCCTTTAGGAATCTAAATTAGCACTTGTGACTACGGATATTTAGAGCTGTAAACCAGAGCTATAAAAAAGAAAAAATGAACTTAATCCTACTTATAAGTGCAAAGTAGGAAAGGGCCTTTCCATAGCCCAAAACTTAGTTAACAGAAACCAAACTAGTTTCAAGTAGTTAGTCACGTAATTTAACCCAGCTTTCAGAGCCTAGGCATGGATTCCTGTCTGCCTTCAGGCATTCTTCATTCTTTCTTGCTAGCCCTTTTATAAGCCAACAGAAAAAAAAGATAAGGAGAAAGGGAAACTGGAGATAACAACTTGTGTATTAGGATAACATAGTAAAGATGCACTCTGACTTATGTGACTTCCTCATAATTGTTTTACTCTCATATAAATTATCTTCTCTGAAACAGTTTTGTAATTCAGTATGTTTAAACATTAACCTAGACAATGCAAGAGGATGCAGGTATTCTTCTCATTTAGGCCCAATTCTGAAAGGCATTGAGATGCAAAATGATTCAATATGCTTGGCCATCTATGCAACAATGCAAATGAATCAGTATATTATAGCAGAATATTATAGCAGTGCCATCTGTGCCTCTGTCTGCAGGTAAAACAACAGCAATTTTCAAATAAAAAAAAATAAAACTCCTTATTTCATAAAAGGACTGAGGCTTTTCTCTCCTCCTTATTGTGCGTGTCTATTCCACTAGTGATGCACACCTTAAGGCCAAACATGAGTTGTGATAGGCTGTCATGCAGTTCGGATATTATAGATGAAATCCTTCCAGAAGCAGCATCTGGCTTGTTTTGTGAGCTCTACAGTCATTTATAGTGATGGGGTTACATGTGCCCTAGGCTTTGTCAGATGGTTAGGCTTCTTTTTCTCCAGGGTTATTTTTTTAACAGTTGTTGCTTGTGAGGAATTCACACTAAAAACATGCTTTACTTATCATTATTTCCCATTTTTTAATAAAAGAATTATTCATTTATAAACAAGGCAGTTTGAAAGATGACCATTAATATACTGGGGTTAAGTAATATGCTTAAAGACATACATTCTTTGTGAATGCATAGCAAACTCTTTTTTTCCTGTTTCTTTTCAGTGCTCCAGCTCTGTATGAGCTCATTGCTTGCCATTGGAATTAGTGATGGATATAACCTCATAGGCTACCTTGTCTCTCCCCCTCCACTAATGCAGGGATGTTCCCTATAGACTATAGGCATATATTGTATTACCCTAAGTGTTTTATCCATTTTCATTTTAAATTATTTAAGATGTGCATTTTACAGTTTTTCTTCAGAAATTCAATCTATAAGTCCTTGCTTTTAGAAATTTACCTGAAACTCTTTGCTCTGCACCATCCCTTAATCCACATATAACTCTTCACCCTTCATCCACTTAAAACAATGTTTTTATGTGCTTACAGTAGATGAGGTGTTATTGAAGGCTGTATTTTACTCCTAGGCCAAATTCTCAACTTCTGTAAATCTGTGTAGCTTCATGCACTTGATCAAGAGAACTATCTTTGTCTACTTCAGCTAAGAGTGTGACTCTGTGGATGCATCTACTCATGCAATTAATGGTCGTCTACAGATGTATCAGCACATATTGCACATTCAGCAGTACTCCGCACTGCAAGGTAGCAGCATGGGGGGGAGGGGTTGACCCCTAGATATCCAGGGGTTCAAAAAACCCCACCAAAAACAGTGGCACATATGGGGCAGTGTGTGCCACTCAAAACTGGAGCCTGGCCAGCTGGAGCCACACTCTGGCTTCCAGCCAGGCTCCAAGTGGCAGGATCACCACTGCTGCAGCCCCAGAAGGCCTTCAGGCCCCCAGGGAATGCTGCTGTGGCCAGCCCAGTACTGACCCAGGCCTCCCCTATATCACCCAGGGTAACATGCTGCATGCCAGAGGGTGCGTGGCACAGGTGTTGCCTGAGGACAACTAGCAGTGGCACAAGGTGTCCCACTGCTAGTTGTCCCCAGGCAACCAATTGTCCGTGTTTGTGTGGACACTGTCAATGTGACTGAATAGAGTGTGGTGCAATTTGAGCTGGAGTAAACTAATCCCAACATCACTATCTACATGTGCATTTAAGCAGAGTACTTTACTCCACTGTTGGATAGTACCTGTGTCTGATGGGACTATCTGACAGAACTGTAAATTAGTCTACACCAGCCCAGTTGCTGTGCATGTGTAGATGGTGACACTTCATTGTACAGTACATTAATCTAGTGCACAGTACAGCGCATATGTAGATGCACCCTTTCAATTTATATTCTTGAGGTACATGTTGATGATCATCATATCCCACTTAATCCTCCATAGAGTCTACAGTCTAAAGGTCACTGTTACTTACAAAACCATTAACTGAAATGGATGAAATAGTAGGATGCTTCTCAGGGTAAAAAAAAAGGCAATACAATGTAGTTAAGATGTGACCAAAAGAGATTGGAAAGGAGGCTTGTTGTGGGTTGGGGAAGGGGTAATTAACAGCTAAGGAGATGAAGTATATAGCATGAGGTAAAAGAAGAAAGACATAAAAATTTTTGTGGAGTTGACTGGGTAATGCAATAATCATCATGATGGCTCCTGTATTTTATTTTAAAATATAATGTT